AAAAAAAAAAAAAAAAAAAAAAAAGAAACAAGGGTCTCACTATACTGCCCAGGCTGACTCAAACTTCTGGGCTCAGGCAGTCCTTCTGCCTCAATCTCCCAAGTATCTGTGGTTATAGGCGCTGCCACCTTGCTTGGCAATTTCTTACTTATTTGTTTACAGTACTGGGTATTGAACCAGGGTCTTTGCGCAGAGCTACGTACACAGCCCTTCCTTTCTTCTTTTTCGTTTTTTATTTGCAACAAGGTCTTGCTAAATTGCCCATGCTGGGCTGGAACTAGTGATCCTCCTGCCTTAGCCTTGCAGAGTGCTGGGATTATAGGCAGGCACCACCCCTTCCAGCTTCACCTTTATTTTTACACAAAAGGAATGGTAGTTAAGCCAAAGAATGTTCAATTTTAGTTAACCCAAATTCATCATGGAAAATGTTCCAAAGTCAACTGTACACAGTCATAAATTTTTCAGAGTACCAGGTCCCTCTATTAGCGGTTTTAAGGTGTTCCCAGACTCAAAGATTATATTGATGACACCTGAGTTCCACTTCAATAGGCTGAGGCATGCATTCTTTCATCTGCAAAAGAGCAATAACGATGCTATTGCAGCAATTTTAAGGACTAAAGGAGCTAATATAATAGCTGCTTAGTATAGAACATGATGCATATTTTTTCAGTAGATGTTTGCTGTCTGTTTTGTTTTGTTTTGTTTTGTTTTTTAGTGCTGGAGATCCCAGAGCCTGTGCATGCGGGTCAAGTGCTCTACCTGCGAACTGACTCTTGCCTGTGTTTTTAAATACTACATATAGATACCCAGGAGACAGCTTCCCTTTGCCCGTGCACCATCCGGCCACAAAATCTAAGTCATGAAGATTGAAAGGCGATGAGTGAAGGCCAAAGCCTCACAGAGCCTTCCAGCAGAGGGTGTGTAATGTAATGGATACATTGTGTCAGCTTGAGAAGTTGAGAAATTTAACTAAGGGACTCAGCAGGGGGCCAGGGTCCTCACTCGGTAACCATCCTCATTCTGTGCAAGAGGAGGGCAGGGAGATGGTGTGAGTGCTACACCCGCCCTGGGGGAGGGGAGCCTGCCTTTGTTGCTTTTGCTGTCTTCTGTCACCCTGAACTGCTGCCCCTGTGCTATGCCCCCCTGCCTTGGAGCCAGCTAATATGGACTGAAACCTCCACAAACTGTGAGCTAAATAAACCTCTCCTTCCTTAATTTTTGGCATTGAGCTATTTTGTTTCAGCCACAAGAGAAAAGTAACTCTTTTCAGAGTACCAGGTCCCTCTATTAGCGGTTTTAAGGTGTTCCCAGACTCAAAGATTATATTGATGACACCTGAGTTCCACTTCCATAGTCCGACGCATGTATCCTTTCATCTGCAAAAGAGCAATAAGGACGCTATTGCAGCAATTTTAAGGACTAAAGGAGCTAATATAATAGCTGCTTAGTATAGAACACCTGAGACAGGGTGGCAGCTACATTTCAGTCCTGTGATCTTTGGCAAGTGTAGTTTACAAAAGGTGTCCTCCTTTGACCCTGACAAGAGGAAACCTTGCTTGGCCCTGTACTTTTTTATTTTAATTTTTTTGTGTGTGAATATTTCACAACTATAATTTAAACCTTAGGGATAAAAGCTTAAAAAAAAAAACTGCTTAAGAGTAAGTGTAACTTTTCTATTGTCCTCCTATAAAATCCTAAGTTGATTTAATCAGGCCTCAAAGTTTGAGTTTTCTCTCAGTACCAAGCAACCACTACATCCACACAAAATACTTACTTGTAAATGTAATACTTGCCCTGGCTCATCCAACATGCAGTGCACTGGGCCCGTACTTGTAAAGCCTCACATGGAAACAAACATAAAGAAGAACTAAATGTATTAGTGAGTGCATGGTTCAGAACAAAAACGATGTACGGCTGTGGGCCGCCGCTGTCCCTTAGGACTTGGCACTCACTCTGACCACAGACTTCGAGCATCTGCCCTGGTAATCAATACCTAGGCCCCAGGGAAATGCTCCTCCACATTTCTTGTGCTGTGCCCTCAAAACAAAAGGCAACTGTGTCTGAAGGGCGCAAAGGCTTCAGGTTTGTGATGCTGCTGACATTTGAAATGGACAATGCTGTGGAGTGCAGGAGGACTTGAGTAATGGAATTTCTGGTACTTGAAGGGAAAACCAAATTAATTTATCAAATCGTTTCTGATGTGAGGGTGAGGTGTGCATATGCATGTGTGTGGGAAGAGGTGGTACGGGGGAGTGAACCCAGGGCCTTCACACTGAGTTACACCCCCAGCTCTTTTTATTCTGAGACAGTCTCAATAAGTTACCCATGCTGGCCTCAGACTCCATACTCTTCCATCGGTCTCCCATGTGCCAGGATTACTTACCAACAATCTTGGCTGCATTTGCTTTGTAGTGCAGGCTGGCCTTAAACTTACTGTGTAGTCCAGGCTGGCCTCGAACTCGCAGCAATCCTTCTGCCTCAGCCTCCTGAGTGCTAGAATTACAGGTATGAGCCACTATGCCCGGCTAAAATTAAAATTTTTGAGAATTTTTTCTACATTGCGATTGTTTTCTGACTCTGATAGCTCAGTGTACATAGTCTAATTCAAAAAGGCCTTTGAACAAAAGAGCAGCATACTTCCATTTTGGTTCTTCTTTCTCATTTTTAAAAAAATGTGCGTGTGTGTTTCTGGGGACTAAACCCAGGGTCTCCTATACGGTAGGCAAATGCTCTGCCACTGAGCTACATCCCCAGTCCTTGGCACTGTACTGAGTACTGTGCAGAGTGCCCGGGATTCAAAAGTGCTCCAGGCAGCAGGCTGATCCTCAGAAAGTTTGCAGTCTGTGGTGGACTGAAGCAAGTGCGAAGGTGCTGTGCAGAGACAGGAGAAGGGTCCCCACCCCAGGACCGAGGCTAGCAGGCAAGGCTTCCTAAGGGTGCCTTACATGTTCCTGGACCAGCCTGAGTAGTCCAGGAGGCAGAATCTTGGAGAAAGCAAGAGGACTCCAAAAAAACCTCATTACACTTAATTATTTTTCCTGCTTAGAAAAGTAATTCATGTTTTTGATAAAACGTTCTAACAAAAACAAGCGAAAGCCTCCCATGATCCTCTCTGTTCCTGCTCCTGGTCCATTCCTGTAAGATACTGAGTCAGTAGCGCTGTTGACACAAGGTTTGGGGAAGGCAAAGTTCAACACTCATCCTCCAACCAATAGGAGGCAGCACGCTGCAAACCTTCGGGCCGACGCTGCCTCTCTTTGCTACGTCGCAGGCGTAATCGGCAGCGCTACATACTGCGCCTGCGCACGAGTCCCGGCCTTTTTCCCCCTGTAGTGCTGCCGGGCCTGCAGGTCTGTGTAGAGCCGCGGAAGCGGGTCTCTCTTACACAGGATGGTAAGTGGGCATCTCGGCCTCAGGGGTGCGGATGCACAAGTGTTCACTGTCCCTTCCGGGACGTCAGTGCAGATCCCGTCCTGGGCGGTGCAGGCGTTGGATGGCGTTAGATTCTCGGCTGTGCTGTGCTCAGGCTGCGGCTCCCGGCGTGGCCTTAATGGCTGCCGCCCAGTGCGCAAGCTTGGGGGGGAGGGGTGGGCGAGGAAGGGTACCCAGGCTGGAAACGGGATCGGGAGAGGGGGTTGAGTAGGCGGCCCGCAGAGATGTTGCTGGCTGCTCGAAGGAGCCCCGGCAGGCAGCCGGGCGGGGAAGTTGCTTGTCTTCGGCCCCAGGTGGGGGATGCCAGGGTGGAGGCGGAGTGCGCAGGTCTGCGGGCCCGACGCGGCCCCGGCCGCTTGGTGCGTCTTCAGGAGAGCGCTGTACTCGGCCAGTCTTGCCGAAGGTTTCTGTTCGTAGGCGAGGGAGCTGGTTTGTGCTGAAGCCAAGGCTGTCAGTGGCGCTAGGAGTCCGTGGCCCATTCTGCAGATGGCCCACGGCAGGACCCCGGAAAGGCGGTCATTTCATTTGGGGTACGCGTCTGCTCCTTTTTCTGGTTAATCGCTGGTCCAAGTTATCAGTGATCGTTGGGACAGGACCCCAAAGGCGGGGTGAAGTATTGCTTTAGCTGGGAGTAGGCCGTACTTTTATGGGGGTCATTGTTGGTTGTGTTCTTGCCCGGTTGAGTGTGAAGGCAGGCGGTTTAGGCACGGAGGAAGTGAGAAAGCTGTAGTCCGAGGGTCTCTAAAGTGGGACATACAGTGTTTAGAATGGATGGGAAATTGTTTGAAAAGCAAAAGTAATGTGACAGTTCTGTATCTGTTGAATCTAATAAGTTGGAGCCTGCATTTTGTATGTTGCTTACCAGGAGTTGTAATGAATCGTTTTTACTGGGCTTTATAAAACTTGGTGACAAGCCGGGCGTGGTGGCGCACGCCTGAGGTGGGAAGATCGTTGCCAGTAGTTCGAGGCCAGCCTGGGCTACAAAGTGAGCTCAAGGCCAGCCATAGCGAGACCCTGTCTCAGAAAGACAAAAAACCGAAAAACTTGGTGACAGCTGGAAAGTAGAAGTGTTTATTGATCCCAGTAAGAAATAAGTGCTACAAAAACGGACAATTGTGTGTACTTGCTCTTGAAAAGTTACTTTGTTAACATGGTTAATGTACCTCAAAAGTACATATTAAAACATTAGTCAAAATTTTAATAAATTCTTTCTTTCTTTAAGGGTTTTGTTAAAGTTGTCAAGAATAAGGCCTACTTTAAGAGATACCAAGTGAAGTTTAGAAGAAGACGAGGTATGGACAGGTTTTCATCTTTTAAGCATTAAAACAATGCTGTTTTATAATAGAGTATCCCCTCTTAAATTTTTTTTTTTCCCCCCTAGAGGGCAAAACTGATTACTATGCCCGGAAACGCTTGGTGATCCAGGACAAAAATAAGTACAACACACCTAAATACAGGATGATAGTTCGTGTCACTAACAGAGATATCATTTGTCAGGTAAGTGGTGTTCTGGACTCTGGCAGTGGGTGGTAATAAAAACCCACGCTCCTTCACTCATGGTGCTAGAGAAGGTATCTGGGAAGCAAAGCACATGATAAATAGGTTAGGTGAGCTGTTGAGTGTTTGTGGGCTGTTGAGTGTTTGCTTTAGTAGGTCTAGAGTTGAAGATTAGGTAATGGGTATTTTAAAAAACACCTGAAAGATCAGCTATGTTTGGACATCTTGATCCCTTTTTATCTCACTTCCATTTTCTAATTTGAGAAAAAGAGGCTTTTATGTATGAGTAGGGTAGGCAAATAAATGGGGCAAGCAGAAGGCTTTCCCATCTCGATTACAGTACAAGTTTGTCCTTGGCTGGGTCCTGACCTTTGCTATGTTGTTTTACATGCCATTTAAGTCATTAAAGAAGTTTAATGAGATCCTTAAGACTGTTCTTATGTTTGCTTATTGTTTGAAACAGGTTTTTAAAAAGTGTACAAAAGTCCTGTTCGAAAGAATTCAAAAGCACCAGTTCATCAGTTTCTAGAACTAGGGAACATTCTGTTATTTGAGATTTGCTGATCTTTTGTGGGAGGCAGGCAAATCTGGTTGTTGGGTTTTGTTTTTTTGGTTTTTTTTTTTGTTTGTTTATGTTTTTTGAGACAAGGTCTATGTGGTTTAGACTGGCCTTGAACTCACTATGTAACCCAGGCTGGCCTTGAACTCACAGCAATCCTCCTGCTTCAGCCTCCTGAGTTGCTGGGATTACAGGCGTGTGATACCACGCCCGGCTGGCAAATCCATTTTCTGCACAAGTTTATTCACTGTGAAGGCAGTGTCTTCATATCTACCTTCAGGTATTAAACATGAGGTGTTTAAAATAATTGGGTACCCCTCTTGGACTTTCAAAAGTGTGTCATTTATCAGCTAACTCAGCTCAGAACCTTTTGCTTATATAAAGTAAGGAACTAGAGTATAATTTATTAAAGCATGTATGTATTTGGAAATTTTAGCTTTGCATACTGTGACATTCATTGGTCAGATGTTTACAGATACCTAAGTCCATCCAATACCCAACTGTTACATAGTTGACCAAGTCGTAAGTTACAGTTGGAGGCAAGTGGGTTTAAAAAATATTAAGTGAATGAGAAACCACTTTGAAGATATCAATATGTAATACAACAAGCATTGTTAATTCCCTACCACTTTGTTTGTAACTGTACTATCTGTTCTGTTCTTTTGCTATTTTGTAAAATGTTGTCTGTCTGTTAATGTTTTCCTCCTTTTATTTTTAAAATTTAAAAAAAAATATTAAGTGATACTGATGTGTCTGTTGAAGGTTTTTAAAAATTTTCCTTTGAAAAAGAAGACACATAGGACAAGTAATGAAACAGTGACAGCAACAGATTACTAACCTGATTTTTCTTTATTGTAGATTGCTTATGCCCGTATCGAAGGGGATATGATAGTCTGTGCAGCATACGCACATGAACTACCAAAGTACGGTGTGAAAGTTGGCCTAACAAATTATGCTGCAGCATATTGTACTGGCCTGCTGCTGGCCCGCAGGGTATGTATATGTATAAGGTGACTTGAATAGCTTAGTGGGGTTAGGGTTGTTTGGAATTGCCCTTGGGATGCTTGCATGTGGGTGAGAGACTTAGCCTGGGCTGTGGGATAGTGCTTACTGTTGCTTTGTGGCTTAGCAAGGAAGATGATTTTATAAATACAAAATGTAGTGAGATGGCAGTGCATTTTTTAGTAATCTGGGTGACGCACTTGCTTGTCTTCCTATTTTCTGTTCTGATGGTGGGTATGTCTGAACCAGCCTTGTCCAAAAGAATGTTCTGCAGTGGTGATCTATCTGTAATGTTTGGTCGGGCAGCCACTCCTCTCCTGTGACTATTTTAAACACTGATATTTTTTTTTTTCCTTTTGAGAAAAGACAAAGTCTCTGTATAGTTGAGGCTGGCCTTCACTCATTGTGTGGTATAGAATAGCCTCAAACTCGCAATCCTCCTGCCTCAGATTTCTGTGAATTTTTAACTTGAATTTGAAAAGCCACTTGTGGGTAGTGGCTGCTTAGCCAGCAAGCAAAGGTACAGGTTTTTGCATTGTTAGTGTGCATTAAAAATGCAGACTTGGCAGGGGTTGTACTCAAGGCATACTGAGAACTTGTATTTTGATAGGATGTCCCGAGTCATTTTACACACATTAAAACTTCAGAAATACTGTCTTCTACTTTCTGGTGCATAGGCATTGATGGGAAGTTTCATTTTTCTTTTAATCACTTTGTGTCTGATGGGCAGCATTTCCTGTATGTGCTATGTTAATGTGGGCTGGGAATGAAAATGTGATTTTGCCGTTCTTTTGTTATCTTAGTTACTGTTTTGCAGTGTAGTTGTCAAGCATATACATTATAGTGTTCCACATCACAGGCTATAAACGTGTTTGAGTAGGGAGCAACATTATCAAATATGAGAGCAACTTGGTACAAGTTTGGTGAAACTGGCTGGGTGACAGGGTACCAGCAGCAGTCCAAATTAAAATAACATTTGGGGAATATGGGACCGAAGATGTTCCTTTCAGACCTACCCTTACAATTTTGTTCTAGATTGTTACACAAAACCACACACGATTTTATATTTAATTATTGAATTATAGCTAAATAAGACTGAAAAAATGTGGGGATTATTTCCCTTGAGTAAATGTAAGGATTGAATTATTACATAGTTGTGAAATGTTTCAATGTAGAGTGTAATTTTATATCAACTTCTTCCTCAATAGCTTCTCAATAGGTTTGGCATGGATAAGATCTATGAAGGCCAGGTGGAGGTGACTGGAGATGAATACAATGTGGAGAGCATTGACGGTAAACCTGGTGCCTTCACCTGCTATTTGGATGCAGGCCTTGCCAGAACTACAACTGGCAATAAAGTTTTTGGAGCCCTAAAGGGTGCTGTGGATGGAGGCCTGTCTATCCCTCACAGGTAATAGTATTCAAGACCTTGTGCTTTGACCCCAGTATTTCCTTGATTCTACCTAGTAGAACTGTAGAGATTACTGAATCTATTAAAATAGCTGTCGTTGAATCCCTACTCTATGCTAGTACTTTGCAAAAGGAACCTGGCACAGCAGGAAGGAATTGTAACCCATGAGGAGACGGGGCTCAGAGGTAGTGGTCTGGCCAGGGTTCGGGGGCTAATAAGTGGAAGTGCTGGGGAGAAAGCTACAGTCTTTTTCATATGACTTAATTTTGGTTAGAAATGAACAACTCTGTTCCTGCCCTGTACATTTTCTTTTTCTTTTGATGTACTGGGTTAAGGAAAAATGTGGATCTAAAAGGCTTATGTGAGATTCTTTTTTTCCTTTTTTTCGTACTGGGAATCAAACTCAGGACCTTGTGCTTGCCAGGCAGGCGCTTGTACCGCTGAGCTATATCCCCGGCCCTGTAAGATTCTTAAATATTCAACTGGAAGTAGAATTTCAGGCAATTCTTGGTAGCTTCTTTGGTTTCAGTTGTTAAATAGAGGCATCTCAAAACCCTATCTCAAAAAAAAAAACAAAAAAACAACCCTATCTCCAGATTGAACTCTGGGCCTTGGTACTGAACTATATCCTAGTCTTTTATTTTGAGACAGGGTTTTGCTAAGGTGCCCTTGCTGGGCTTGAACTTGTGGTCCTCTTGCCTTAGATGCCCAGAGTGTTGGGGTTACAGGCATGGGCCATACCTGTTAAATGTTTTTGCATGTTTTCTTATTGTCTACAACAGTTGAAATGAGTCTGCATTGTAAATTCATCTCCATTTAGAAACAAGTTAATGAGGTACAAAACGTCTCAGGTGATTTCCTTAATTACGATCTTATACAAACCATTTATTCCCCTCTACTCTGAGGCTCCCCTGAAATTAGTAGGATTTGGGGGATAAATTTTGAAACCCCTTCCTATGCTAATACAGAATTTATGAACAGCCTTCGTACCTGTTTCTAAAGGTGTTTGTGGTGGCGGGTGCAGTGGTGCGCACTTGCGTGGAGAAGTCTGAGGACCGCACTTGAACCCAGGGGTTGGAGCCTGTGGAGGGGTGCTGTGCTTGTTTTCTCTTCGGAAACGCGGTGACGAGCTGCCAAATGACGATAGCCCACTAACTGAGCAGTCCGTAGTTGGTCCTTTGGCTGCATATGATGTAGCAGTTGTTTCAAGACGGGACTGATGGCAGCTGCTGAAGTGAATTCCTGTCCGTGAACTTGTTTCAGTTAATGTGTACTGAAATATAAAAAATTTTATTTTAGTACCAAACGATTCCCTGGTTATGATTCTGAAAGCAAGGAGTTCAATGCAGAAGTACATCGGAAGCACATCATGGGTCAGAATGTCGCGGATTACATGCGTTACCTAATGGAAGAAGATGAAGATGCTTACAAGAAACAGTTCTCTCAGTACATAAAGAACAATGTAACTCCAGACATGGTAAATTTACCTAAAAGTGCTTGTGTGTTAATTTACATAAACAAGTTTGATGGGTTACGTTTATTTCAGGCTAGCAGTTGAAAGTTGAGTATATTTGCGAGTGAGTATGTTTGTAAGTACAGTAGATCCACGTAGTTGCTCTTGTCTTGAAGAGAGATTAGAAGGTTGGATGAGAGTAGATTAAGCAGAGAGCCAGTATAAACCCATGGGGATGTAGTATAAGTAATGAGCTGTACTTGTCAGCAGGTTTTAAATACTCAAGTGTGGCAGGCTTTAAGCATTTAAAGCCCTTTGATGCCTTTTATGCTTTGGCTGTTCTGTATTTATAGATCTCATCCTGTGGTTATAACGTATGTATAATCTACTTTGATATGAAGGGTGAGACATTAAACACTGATTTTGAGGAGGAAGAAAGTTCTTAATACTAAATATCATGCTGTGTTCTGGACTGTGAATACCCCGTGGATACACAAAAGGGAACCATACAGATTCTGTCACTAGCTCTGCATGATGCACAAAAGGGAACCATGTTGCAGAAGAGGTCTAATGTTGGAAATCTGTCAGTCCCAAAGGTGAATTTCTAGGGCAACTTCTTTTAAAACACTGGACTAATTGAAGGTTATACTGCCAGTTTTGAAGTTACAGTGAACATATAGACCCCAAATCAGATAATTATAAAACTGTATTACAAGTTGTTTGTAATTGTTACATTGTCTTTCCTGTAGCATTGTAGTTTCTATTAAGAGTAGCAGTTCTTGTAGGCTTATTTTACCTGGCCTGCACAGTAGTACTTCCTAAGCCATAGTCCTGATCTGGTCATGTCACAGTTGCTCCAGACATCCACTTCCATCCAGTCTGTGTGCTTTCCGATACTCACTTGTTGATGCGTTCCTACACTCATGCTGTACTTAAGCCAGGATTCTCATTGACTAACGTACTTTTCAGTTAGCTTACTTGTTTTATTTTGGGGGCAGAACTGAGGAGCTGGGAATTGAGCCCAGGTCCTTGTGCATGCTGTTCATGTGCTTTACCACTGAGCTGTAGCCTCAGCTTGCTCATTAATTTTATCTGTGGTAGCCTCTTTCCTCCTGTGTACCTGCTGAAATCCTCTGCAGATATCTGATGTGTCTCTACTGTTTTCCCAAAAAATAGGACATAGGTAGAAAATAATCTGCCTTTAAAAACTAGGGTTCAAAAAATCCAGGCCCAATCAGCCTATTCTTGCCTTACAGAAGAGCCACTGAGCAAGAGAATAGTGATGCCAGCCAGCAAAGGTAAGGATAGGCTGATTGGGGCTGCCTTTTTTTCTCCCATGGGGTTAGAGGCTGGCATTTTTGAGCTGTAGTTTTCAAGGCTGATTATTTTTTGGCTAGGCTTATTTTCTGGGAAGTAGGGTAACAAGCGATTTTTACCCAAATTTGTGGCATTATTTACCTATGTGCTTGTGTTTTCTACTTCTTTAGCCTCTTGGAAATAGAGAAATTAACTGTGTATGTTGATGATTGAACCCAGGTTTTTCTTTTTTTTTTACTCAGCCTCGAACTCCTGCTTCAGCCTCCTAAGTGCTGGGAGTACAGGTGTGTACTACCTTGCCCAGCCTCCATCCTTTTTTAGTTTTTATTTTGGGATTCTTTTTTTTTTTTTTCCTGGTACCAGGAATCAAACTCACAACCTTGCGCTTGCCAGGCAGGCACTGTGCCGCTGAGCTAAATCCCCAGCCCCTAGTTATTATTTTGACAACAGGGTTTTGCTAAATTGCTCGGGCCTTGAACTTGGAATCCTCTTGACTTTCACCATGCCCCACAGAAGTTAACTTTGTTAAAGGATTTAGGTAGTTGAGGTCCTTCGTGGTGGACACACTGAGGATGGAATCCAAGTACTGAGCTGAGTGAGCATTTGGTTTGATTTTTTTTGAGACAGTTTTGCTGTGTAGTTCAGGCTGGCCTCAAGCTTGCCACAGTCCTTTTGCCTCTGTCTCCCAAGTGCTGGGAGTACAGGTATGCACTGGCATTCTAGCTCCCTGGCATTATTTTTTTTTAAGAGTCCTGCTCTACCACTGAGCCACACCCCTGCCCCTGCTTTGCATATGTTTTCTGTTTTAAAATAAGTAAGTCCTCACTGTGTAGCCCAGGCTGGGTTCAAATTTGGATCCTTCCTCAGCCTCCTGAGTGCTGGGATTATAGGCATGTGCACCATGCTCAGTATTTTGATACTCATTAGGGAGCTATAATTTTTATATATACAAGTTGTAACCATGGATTTTAAAAATGAGCTGTAGAAAAATGTGCCCAATAAGGAATCAAAATTGCTGACTCTTCAGTTTCTAGAAAATTCAGACCTTTTGACTTGCAGGGATGTTACATTAGTGGGAAATGTAGGTAACAAAAGAATTTAGCATTTGCTTCATGGCCTCTGTTGTGTTGTCCTGTCCTTGGTCTGCATAAAGCTATGTCAGTGTTGTGACTCTGACCCTGTATACTTTGCATCTTAATATCTTAAATACTTTCATTTTGGCATGTGTTCTTACTGAACGAAAGAATTTAGGCCAGAATTTTTAGAACGAGGAGCACAGTATACGTTCTACAAAAATAAATTTGCCTTAGAATGACTCAAGTATGGTTCAGTTCCTCAGCAATACATACAAGTTTTTCTCTGAAGTTGGGTTTTGTGAATAATGTCAGTTCACATTGAGTAAGGTAAACACTGGGAATTTGTCAGTAAAAGCTGGTTTACATATAGGAAATTAAGCAGGGACTAACATTGACTTGGATTAGTTCCTTTTGAGAACCATGCTCAGAATGACAAAGCAAGTAGTAGAACACTTGGCCTTAATACAGTAGGGCACATGAAATGAAACCAAGTACTGTTTGCTTTTCTTTGTTTCAGATGGAGGAGATGTATAAAAAAGCTCATGCTGCTATACGAGAGAATCCAGTCTATGAAAAGAAGCCGAAGAGAGAAGTTAAAAAGAAGAGGTAGGAGTCTTGCTGTCTCAAGAGAAGTTTGGTGTGGTTCGCACATGCCTCGTTTCATTCTATGGGTCAGGCTTTCGGGGAGGTTGTGCAAACTCGATCACTAGCTCTGCATGTTGTGGCAGGAGCTAAGGGAACCAGGTTTGCTAAAGTAATTGTGGTGATAGGACTGTATTAGCCTCAGAAGCTACTGAGGTGGCCCGTTCTGTCCTCATACAGCATACGCATCACTTACTGCATTTTTAGTTGGCCTTTTCATCTCTTGGTAGATTAAAAAAAAAAGTACATGCACACTGAGCCACTGTAGTATCACTGGTTTTTTTAATTTGATGTTTGACCCTGTGGTACAGGACAGGATCACAGAAGTGGTTCAGAAAGTTAGCTCTTAAGAATAAAATTATATTAGAACTTAGATTAACCTCCATCTGATAATAAAGTCTGTCATTTTCAAGTTAAATATTCTGAAGTTAATATTCTGTATCCTCTTTAGCTATGGTTTTTAACCATACATTCCTGTTTTGTTTTATAGGTGGAACCGTCCCAAAATGTCCCTTGCCCAGAAGAAAGATCGGGTAGCTCAAAAGAAGGCAAGCTTCCTCAGAGCTCAGGAGCGGGCTGCCGAGAGTTAAACCAAATTTCTATGAAGATTTTTCAGATAAAGACCAATAAACTTATTCATCAAGCAGCTGCTTTTGTATTAAGCTCTTGTTATAAGAGTCTAGGGAATAAACTGAAGCAAAGGAGTTGACGGGTTTTGTTTTCTTGAAGAAACAGGTGTAATTTTTTCCAGAAAAGAAACATCTTGGGTGTTGACTCCAGCAAAGTTCATACTTCTTGGGCTTCTTTTCCCTCTTATCCCTCAAATTCTAAGTTTGGCAAGCAACAGACCAACAGTGATCACTAGAAGTATTTCTTCTGTTCATTTATTATAACCAGATCATTAGTGGGAAGAAAACATACCTCAAAAGTACAATCTTGAAGGAAACAACTGGTGGTAACCCATGGCTTTCAATTTTGAGAGCAAATGAAGATCACAGATTTAGTACACTCATGTTAACTAGGTTAAACCTCTGAGGAGAAAGTATACTAGTGCCTTCAGACTGAAGAGGAGGTGTCTTTTTTTATGGAGATGTTGAAGGGTACATGCCAGATCTCACTATGAAAATACATGGAAAGTGACCAAATAGTAAATTTTGCGTATGTGGGAAAAAATAATTGGGTGGATAAATTTACATGCATCTTTTAAGAAACAGCCCTTTAGTCCACAGGAAACACTGAAAATGGGAAATTGACGGTCTTTGATGATTTCTTTTAGTCCTGTTCTTAACAGTTAAGCACTTTCCCCACAGCTCAAATGCAGGATAAATGGGTTTTGGGTATGTGGCCTCAAGATGTCAGTTTTGCAGTTCTGGGACTCAAACCCAGGGCCTCAAGCATGCTAAGCAAGCACTACCATTGAGCTACATTCCCAACTCAAGGGACTGTAAACTTGGTAGGCTTAGCTGATACTAAGATGGGCTCACCCAGCTTTATTTTGAGACAGGGTCTTGCTGTGCAGCCCAGGCTGGTCTTAAACTCACTATGGAGCCTAGGCTGGCCTTAAATCTGTGGTGATCCTCCTGCCCGAGCCTCCCGAGTGCTGGGATTACAGGCCTCTGCCACTGCGTGCAGCCCCATCCAATCTTTAGGCTAGTGAAAATTTGATTTCAGCCACTAACATTGCTAATGGTGTATTGTCAAGTAGAATACTTTTTCAAGTTAAAAACCATTCAGGGGATGTTTGCCAGCTATCTGTGACATTTGATGTCTGAGGTTAAAATGTGTAAATCTATGGTGTAATAAACCATACTGTTAACCCAGTATGGTTTTATAAAGGAGTAATTTTAATGAACCTGCTTTGCAGTCTTGTTAATGTGCAAATGTTACCATGCTAAGACATTAGTAAATTTGTGTAAGTTTTAAACACCTTCAGTGCAAACTGCCCAGCAATGGTATTTGGGTAATAAAACATTCACTGTTGTTTATGGAATGAGGTGTTTCACAGCTTTTTTTTTTTTTAAGTCACCACTCAAAATAGCCCCACAGTGCATGGAATTGGCAAATGTAACAGAGCTTCTAAAAGCAGGAGTTGGCACGTGGTGGTGTGTGCCTACAGTCCCAGCGCAGAGGAGGCTCAGGCAAAATCACTGGAGTCCAGGAGTTCGTCCAACCTGGGCAACAGAACAATACCCCATCTCAAAAAACAAAGGAGTGAAATCTTGTGTGCCCAATGTTACTTCCACAATTGTGTGTATTTAAGATGATGGCTCCTTATGCCCCTGAAGGAAGGATCTGAATCAGAAGCCATTCTTTTGAATGCTCTAAGTGGATATTCAGAAATGGTAAGTTTCCTACTATGGTAACAATGTCCAAATTAAGAGTCATTTGTGTAGGAAATTTTCTTCCACAATAGTGTCTTTAGGTTATTTAGTATTAAAGAGTGTTCCATTTCCATTTGATTTGCTGTGACTTTGAGAGCAATACAGGAATAAAGCTGCTTTTCTAATTCTTCACGAATTTCACTTGGAGCACCACGCAGTAGGTAGTCTTTGAGTAACTGACAGGCTTTTGCCAAGTTTGGTTGTATTACTTCTGAAGTACACTTCATGGTGTTCTGATCACAGCTAGTTCTACAATCCGTGCCATAAACGCAATCCAGGTCAGACTCACAGTGACGATCCTTGATAAGTTCTTTCAGGTTTGTCTCTGGCACAATTTTCCTCATATCCACCATTTTCAAGTCATACTTATCATTATATCCTAGGTTTCTGGCACTAGTGTCACACATAAGAAAGTTTCCATAGGGGCCGTGGAAGACATCTTCCACGAATTCTAGAAGTCCTATGGCTATTTTCGCCTTTCTAGGCCATGATGGTGTGAACAGCTGATCCATAGTTCTTCTGAACCCAGACGGAATAAAAAGTTCAATGACCCATGGGAGGCTCATTCCATAAAGAGAGGTATACTCGACACTTTCCATCACATAGAGGTCACCGCAGAAGCCCATTAGTTTGGGGGTGTGTTCTTTATCTTGAAGTATCACCATGAGAAGAAACTCATTTAACTGGAGGAGTGCCCATGCTGACTTGGCTTCTCCCAAGGACACCTGGCCATCTTTGTCTCCGTCAGCTACCGTCAAGATGAGATTAACCAGTTCAGACAGGTTTCCTTGGTCCCCTAATTTTGCCTGTCAAGACAAGAATCTGGCTGTTACACAGAAGGAATGAAGAGTATCTCCTGTTTACCATAGTTGCTGTCTGGGCAGTACTACCATGCTAGTCATAATCCTGCTACTGAATCCCCATAAAGAAGTTTATATGTTACATCTCCAAATGTGATGCTTTTAAAGGAACTTAGGATATATTTATGTAACTGCAATACACCTTTCCGTTTTTTTTTTTTTTTTTTTTTTTGTCTTTTTTTCTTTCTGAGACAGGGTCTCGCTATGTAGTTCAGACTGGTTTTGAACTCACTGTGTAGCTGAGGCTGGCCTCAAACTCAGTGACCCTCCTGCCTCAGCCTCCTAAATGCTGGGATTACAGGTGTGTACCACCATGCCCACTTTACATGTGTCCATTTGTTAATAAATAGCCACTCTCACTCCTTCAGCCCTCTCAGATCCTTTAGATAGTACCAAGACACTAATTATTTTTTGTCTTATTTATACATTTACTTCCAATTTGCATTTTAAGGTTCATCAAAGTTGTAACAATGGTCAAGTGAAATTTATTTGATTTTGTATTAAACAGAATTACTTTATTGTTCCAATAATGGAGATGAAGAAGTTTTCCCTGTTAAGGTTCTCTGGGAGAAATAGTCTGAAATGCATGTAAACCAGCCAAAGAAAGCTTCTGAGTGAAAATAAAACAGCAACGCAAATTCTTTTCAGTGCTGTCATCATTTTCATTTTTGTTTATTTAGGCTTCACATGAATATTTCCTTAAATAATTTGCAGTCAGCACATTAGGAAGGAGTCAAAGTATGAAAATGTTAGTAGTTTAGGATGGGATCCTGGTAGTTCTCCTGAAGGAGACTACTTTGCACCAGCAACGTGTGGACAGATACACTTACCTTAAAGAGACTGTAGACCATTTCTTTGAACTTCTGTACAGTGGTTCCCCTGGTTGGCTTATCAAATAGTACTATTTCTTTCCTTGGCTCAAATTCAGTTCCAAAATCAAAATGGAGTGCTTGTTCCATTTGACATTTCACAACACCTGGTAGATTATCCCAAATCCCTAAATACATCTTTGTGAAAAAGAACAACAAGTTATGTATTACACTGAGTAGAAAATCTAAACGGTATACCACTAGAAGTTGGGCATGGTGATACATGACTGTAATCTGAGAACTCAAAGGCTGAGGCAAGAGGACTGCAAATTCACGCCCAGCTAGGGCAACTTAGCAACTTAGTGAGACCTTGTCTCAATACAAAATAAAGAAGGGCTGGAGATGGACCTCAGTGGGAAGGCCCTGGCCTCAATCCCCAGTTAAATCCCACTGTATTTGCTCTAAAATAAGACCTACCTGGAAAATATGCCCTACCATGACTTCTGGATCCTCATAATACAGGGCCTACACCTAAAATAAGCCCCAGTGAAGACTGTCGGCCAGACACATACATTTAGTATATCTGTTGCAATACATGATGTACCGAATTATAAAATAATATATAATTAACATAAATAAATATTATTGACTTTAATACTTAAAAAAGATAATATAAATTATAATTTGTAAATGTCCAAGTGGGTACCTTTGGATAAGAAGCAAGCACCTGCGTAGACAGATGAACTTGAGACTTATTGTTGAATGACTAGCTGGAGTACAGACATAATGCGTGAATAACACTTGAGAATGAATGGACATAGTTGTATCTAATAAGAAACTTCATAATTCAATACATCATGTACGGTAACAGTGCACTACGAACAGGCTATATAGACAAAAAGTACTCATTTAAAGACAGCTCTATTGGTAGACATAAGAGATTGGGGCCAGTGGTTCTACAGAAAATAGAGTTGTAAGAAATTCAGGCCAGAAATTGGGCTTTTGAGAGTTATGACCATGTTCCAGAAAATGAGATGACTGTATCTGAACAAATGTAGATTTTTATACATGGATAAATGAAAAGGTGTAGATTTTTGTACATGAAAAAAATAAGATATCCTCTGAAAATAAGCTCTATCACATCTTTTGAAGCAAAAATTAATATAAAACCTAGTCTCTATATTAGGGAATATAGACATCCATCTACCTATATCTATCTCTATCTATCTATCTGTGAACATTTATAGGGTCTTCCTACTCTGTAAAATACAAATAAGCATCAAAGCACTGAGGTTGAGCTGTGATTTTACTTTTGAACAGCAAATATGAAATACTTCAAATTTTTTCAAGTGAATTTTTAATTATGAAAATAATGCAAGCCTAAATATATTTGTTGAATAGTTAAATAGGATGTAAAATGTTCTTCCACATTTCATCTCCCTCATCCTATACCCCAGAATCAATCACTATTAAGTATCTAGCTATTTATCAACTGAACATTATATAGTGTTTACTGCATCTTATATCTTATGCCAAGTTGGAGTCCCTGCAAGCAGCACCTGACAGGGCAACACATGGAATTGTGAGTGAAGCCAAAGCTTTAATGGAGACTCCAAGAAGACTGGGCCCCAGGACTACGGAATGTGTCAAGGGAAGTTGTAGGGAGCATGGCCACATGGGCTGCCACCAGCAAGGTCATAGGGGCAGACCTGCCCAAGGTCTTGGAGCCCACATCCCACCACAGTGTGTTATGAATGCTGGATAAGCAGTTGTAGGGTTTAATGTTTACATGGTTGGTTTTGGTCTTGCTTTTGTCCAGTCCCTTTTTTCAATTCCCCTATTTCTCCTTTCTGGAATGGGAGTGTTTTATATGGTTCCATTGTACCTTGGAAGTAATTTTTTTTTTTGTCTTTTTGAGACAAGGTCTCACTGTGTAGTTCAGGCTGGCCTTGAGCTCACTTTGTAGCCCAGCCTGGTCTTGAACTTGCAACGATCCTCCTGCCTCAGCCTCCTGAGTGCTGAGATTACAGGCATGCACCACTATACCCAGTGGTAATTTGTTTTTAAATTTTTTTTCTTTTTCTTTCTTTTTTCTTTTTTAAGGCAGGCTCTTGCTCTGTAATTCAGACTGTTCAGACTGGTCTTATACTCACTATGTAGCCTTTAGCCTCAAACTCACAGCAATCGTCCTGCCTCAGCCTCTTGTGTGCTGGGATTACAGGCATGTGCCACCATGCCTGGCCTGTTTTTAAATTATTGAAAAGATTCACAGCTAAATTTGCCTTGAGTCCTAGAGTAGACTTTGGATTTGGAGTTTGAAACAATGCTCTTCTATCCTTACCTGTGAAGTAAATGGGCTTCTTCCACCATGCATTCCCATCATGATTACTGTCTCTACACAGGCCCATAAGTAATGGTCAGCCAACTGACCATGGACTGAAACCTCCACAAATAATTCTTTTTTTTTTTCCCCAAATAATTCTTTCTTTTAAAGTTTTAAATTGACTGTCTCAAGTATTTTGTTACAGTAATAAAAGGGTAACACAATCTACTAATTTGTTACTTAATTCTTTTTTTTTTTTTTTTTTTTTTTTTT